AGGCTATGTAAGGCATTGCTTTTAGTTGCCCCATTGAACACAGATTCACAAGAGTGTTTGAAAAGATGCTCTCTTGACTTCCTAAACCAGACACATGTTAAACAGATCACCAAAATAGAAAGGGCACCAGGACAGAGAAGAAACAAGACAGGGAGGGAAATAATGACTGTATGTGCACATGTCATTCCAAACCAAAACACAGCTGGTTAGGTCTAAATTTGAGGTTTGCCAGCTTTGACATTCTCATTGGCATAATCTCTTTAAAAGAAGTCTATAAACTTCCTCTCTATACCCACAAAAGCTGTTACTGTATGGGCTTAGTTCTCTGTCTTTTGAAACTATTATTGATTTTGTTTGTTAACTCTAATTCCTTTGTTAGTTGTCTGAAGTAAACTTGTACCCAGGGTCTCCAATTTTCAGTCTGTTTGAGCAACAGATTTTTTTGTAAGATATTACTATTTTAAAATATTTTAGGCACCCAGAGATACAGCTGTCTTCCTTAGAGATCTCTGTGCTGAGACTCAGCTAGTAAAATTCAGGTTCTAGAGCAAGTTGATTGTTTTTAAAATACTGTTTCAAATATACCATTAATTCTTAATTGTTTTTATTTCCACAGGAGTGATCTAGAATAGGTGCCATTTTACATTTAATTTTTCTTTTTTATGTCTTAAGGCACGAGGTGCAGGGAGTATATTGGACTACATGAAGGTTGGTAAATTACAGTAAGGCTTCTTACATTTGTTCTGTATTGCTTTTTTGGTTTTTTTTCAGGTAGTTGAGATTACTCTTCTTTATTATAGTCAAATATTTATCTGAGACATTTTAAGTTTTATAACAATCTCATCACTTGGGAGCTGTTATCAGATGAGATCACTGATCTATCTATCTAGTCCTGTATTCTCTCTGTGATGGTACCAATGGTATGCCTTGGTATTCCAAATTAATTTCTTCATATCAGGAGCAAATTATATTACACTTTTACACTAAGGATATGAACAAAGTAAGGAAGGATGTTAATTTGCAGAGTGCTAACCACTTCGTGGTGAATGCCTGTGTGCATGGTAAATATGAGGCATCTTGTCCTGCTCATTCAGGGGTAAAGTACCTCACATTTACCATGGAGTAGGAACATATACCTGGGCTGTTGCCACATAGTGGCTGTTGTGCTGTCAGTTTGCCCCCTATGATATAATTTTGCAGAAATTTGCTGATAGAGCTGTGCCTTAAGTATCATATTTAGTCCCCCTCAATTACAGTTACCTTCATTTCTCATCCTGTACTTCAGTGGAAGTGCCAAGCTTTTTATTCCTGAATATATTAGATTAGGAGTTTGTGGAGACAAAATTAAATTGTATACACTGTTATTTGGTGTTAGTCCTATGGGTCATCCTCAGCTGGCTTGAGCTTCATGAACTGCTTCTTCCTGTCTGTATCGTACCTTGCACCAGCTGCATGTTGTTTTCTGTTCCTTGAACCTAGCCCTTCTAGGGATCAGTCTGTACCCGCTACTCCTCTTTCCTGCTGTGATTGGCTCTGATTGTGGTCAGCGAAGAAAGTATGATGTATAAAAGGAACAGAATCAGGGGTGACTTGTGCATCCTGAGTCGGGGGGGGCACAATTTGGGGGCAGGCCTGGGGGCGGGCCAAAAGCCCCATATCTACCCCTAAACTTCTGTGCTGCGGCTTAGTGCTCCCCCCACCCACCCCCAACACACCACTGGCCTGTGCAGCAAAAAAACTGCCCCATCCTGAGTGGTGCTGAGTCAGGAGCCAGTCTCAGGTGCGGGGGGGACCCTGCCCCCCACCCCCATACCCTGCCTACCAGTCACCTGTGGCCAGAATCAAGGAACAGGAAGTTGTGAAATTACTGTTGCTTGACTCTAGCTGTCAGGGTCAGCACAGCCAGCTACAATGGGAAATTGGGAATTTAAGGGTTAAGCAGGAGTGTTCTGGGTCTGGCATTAGTAGCCATTGACCAAGAAAAAAATAGGCAAAAAACACTTGTTGAATATAAAAAATGTACACAAATTGTACAAAATGCGTACACTTTTCTATGTAACCTTGGGACAAAATTCAGGGTGTTTTGCATTCTAGCATGTCTTGCCTTCGCTCTGTTTGTTTTTTCTTAGGATACACACAATGTTCTTCTGAAGATGTAAGAAAGCAAGGTTTTCTTATGTTTTAATAACTGGTTGCATATACATGAAGCAGGCAGGGTGGGAAATGATGACTCTGTATGTGCATGTCATTCCAATGGGTCATTCCAAGGGTTAAACAGATTAAGGAGAGAGGAGTTACTTTTAAGAGTATAGTTTATCCTTGTTTAAAAATTGCTTTTAAAGTTTCAAAAATGTAAATGCTTCTTTTTCCTTTGTTGTACCTCAACCTTATATTACTTGTTATGCACATTGACTGACGACACGGCTGTATGTTGTTATACTATAAGAATATGCATACACATTTCATATCTGCACTGAAGAATCATAAAATATTAACTCCTTGGTCAGTACTGGCTTGGATTAAATTTGATTAAGTGATAAAATGAAATAAATCCATCTCTCTCCCTATCAATCTTAAAGTATAAAAGAAACTGATAACGTTTAGTCATAGCTAGATCATGAGAATCCTGCCGTTCACATCTAGGAAATAGTTCTCAATCATTTACCTGTGAAGAAATTCTGGTGTTGGGTTTTTTTTAATTTCCGTTTTGTATTTAGTTAGAATGTGAATGGCTTTACTGTTTAAGACTGATTGCTCCTAGAACTAATAGGAAATTAGCAAGCTTACGAAAACTTTAGTTTACTACAGCTATTGTGTACATAATAAATATGTTGGTATTCCTTAGTAAAGCCTCAAAATTTTCCTGTACTTTGACTAGCTGAAGATTAGACTGTCTCTTTTGGTTACTATTACTTAAAATTAAGGTTGGATAGTTGACTGGTCTGTTGATTCTGTCTGGTCTGTGGTGGTCCCTTGGCCCCACCCAGCACAGGCATGGAGAGCAGCCCAGGCCACGATGCATGTGTGCAGCTGAACCTGTTGTCCCCAGGCGTGCAGCTGGGTGGGCCAGTGCAGCAGCTGGACTTGGCTTCCTGGCATTCCCCACAGTGGTGACTAACTCTGCCCGTCTGCTGCTGCCAGTGTCTCTAGACCCACTGCCCAGGTACCCCAGCCCGTCCACCCCACACCCACTGCCAGGAATGCTGGATGGAGCATATGTGTGGGTGGAGTCTCTATGGAGATCAGCCCAGGACCCCCATGGGCAGGGCATGCTCAGCTGAGCAAATAGGATGGAGCTGTGGGCGGGTGGGAAGAGGCATCTGGGAGCAGGACAGACAGGTGAGGTCAGAGCTGGGGTAGGGACTGCAGGGCAGTGGAACCGGTGCTTGTTGCAGGGAAATTCAGGGCCTGGATCAAAGCTTGGTCCCAGGCCCTGGCCCCATGCTGTCACCACCCTGCAATCCCATCCCTGCATGCCTGTCCTACTCCTGAACACTGTTCCTGCACAGCTGAGCACGCCCTGCCTGCAGGAGCCCTGGATTGGTCTCCATGGAGACCCCACCCATTTGCTCTGTCTGGTGCCTCCGGCAATGGACAGAGGGTGGGTGGATGGGCCTGGGGCTGGATAGGATTAATTGCTCTCCTCCCCCCCAGTCATATTACTGCAGAAATCAATTGTCAAGAACATAAAATTTGCCATACTGTTTCAAATGGTTTTAACTATATTCCAGTGTTTTGATTTCAGCAATTGCAAATGCCTAATGCTTCCAAGGAAGGTGAAAAAACCTGTAATGCATCTAGCCAAATAACAATATCCCTTTGAGTAGTAGGAAAAGGAAATACCTTCTTAAATCTTAAACTTCCAGGTGCTTGCTTTAACCTGGAGGCATGAGATTTGATTAGTCTTGTGTTAACATGGCATGCGTAGCTGCAGATGTTACAAATGCAGTAGTGATAATGAAATTATCCAATATTTTTGTAAATCCAACCATAATATATGACTCAATATATGACTCACTGCAACAGTGAATTTCAGAGTTGACTATTTACAGTACAAAATTGTACTTTTTTCCCCTCTGTATTGCCCTTAGGTTTGTTATCCTGTTTTCATATTATTGGACTTAGGAAAAGCAAGGACTTGCATTGCTTAAGCTTATTTTACTTCAGTCAAGACCCGTCTCCTCTGAGTTTGAATAATCTTAGCTTCTGAAATCTCATCACCAGGTATCCTGGCTTTCTCTGTTTTTAAATCAGAGAATTTGTGATTTTTAGGGGAAAAATTCCAAAATGTTCTGATTTCCACCCCCCCATCCAGGTTTTTCCACGATTAAAATGAAATGCCACTATATAGATGGGTATCAATCAAACACAATGTTTTATTGATATATTTACAATTTTAAAGCAATTACCAGTGCATCAATCATTATAATAAAATAAGTTCTAAATACCTGTATATTTTGGCATTTTTGTCTTTTAATGATGGAAAATCAGAGCTCCCTCTGCCCCCTTCACTCACCAGGATGTGGGTCCAGCTGCAGCTGTCGCCACCCCCCACCCCTCCCCCACTGCTTTATGGTGCTGAGCAGCCCCAATATGCTGGTGCCCTGCCCCTGCCAGTTCACTCCTGACCTGCTGCCCCCAGCCCCCATTCCTCTAGTGTGTGGGGAATGGGGTGGGTGGGTATGTGAGGAGGAGGGAGGTGCACAGGCAACATGGTGCTCCCCCAAAATTTCTGCACCCACAGTGGGGCTCTAGCCAGACTAAACCAGCTCTGGGTAGGAGCCACCTCCACAGCCCAGCAGGTGGGACCTAGTGCACGAGGGAGCGCCGCACCACTGTGGTCGCCAAGGTGAGGCGCCACCTGACAGTGGTGGGGTCACAACTCCATGCTACCACTTCTACTGTGCTTCACCATGGCAGCGTAACGCATCCTTCCCGCACCTGGTCCTGCCTGCTGGGCTTTGGATTTGGCTCCATCAGAGCTTGTCCATCCTGGCTATACCCTGCGGCCTACTGTGGGCCCAGCTGCAGCCCATGCCCCACTGTGGGTGCAGAATACCTCCCTAGCCTGCAGCATCACCTTGGCCTCCCTGCCACCTCATCTGTTCTCTCCCAGCCTCCTGATGCATGGCCTTCCCCCTCTCCCCCTTAACGTGTCACCTCTGCCCTTCCTCACCTCCATATGTTTACCTGGAGGGAGCTGTGGGAGCTTCTCTCCACTGCTGCCTGGCTGCCACGTGCATGTGTGAGCCTGCAAGGGGGAAACCCATGGCTTCCTGCGTTTTTCTCCTTTAAAGGAGAAAATCCGTTATTTTTTCCATTAAAAGGAGGAAATCCGCATTTTTCCACAGCAAATGGAAACCTGGTTCTGTGCTGATCATACGGTGAGCCCCATCGTAGTTTTTATTTATATTTGTTGGTGTCCTCTTCGGTCTTTCATATATCTTTCTAAGGGGAGGGTTGTCTGTATTGGCCGTAGTGTGTACAAAAGGGTGCATCATTTTAGTGTCAGTTTCCCTTTCAACACACTCGGTATCCTATTTGTTTTTTGGTAGAGGAATAATCCTTTCTGATTTTATTCCTATGATCTGTTTATTCTGTTTGCTTAGGTAGCCCTCTGAAGAATATTCACATGATTTTCAAATAGAAATAATGAATGAAGGTAAAATTGAGATCCACCCACTCACCATGCCTATTTTGTTAGGAAG